TGGTGGCTTGGGTTTGTTTTGCATGGTGTGCCACCACGGTGCCACCCCACTGAACCACGTGGTCGTAGTGGTAGTGGTGGCTTGGGTTTGTTTTGCAAGGTTTGCCACCACGGTGCCACCCCGCTGAACCACGTGGTCGTAGTGGTAGTGGTGGCTTGGGTTTGTTTTGCATGGTGTGCCACCACGGTGCCACCCCACTGAACCACGTGATCGTAAAGGTAGTGGTGGCTTGGGCACGGTGCCACCCCGCTGAACCACGTGGTCGTAGTGGTAGTGGTGGCTTGGGTTTGTTTTGCAAGGTTTGCCACCACGGTGCCACCCCGCTGAACCACGTGGTCGTAGTGGTAGTGGTGGCTTGGGTTTGTTTTGCAAGGTTTGCCACCACGGTGCCACCCCGCTGAACCACGTGATCGTAAAGGTAGTGGTGGCTTGGGTTTGTTTTGCAAGGTGTGCCACCACGGTGCCACCCCACTGAACCACGTGATCGTAAAGGTAGTGGTGGCTTGGGTTTGTTTTGCAAGGTGTGCCACCACGGTGCCACCCCACTGAACCACGTGATCGTAAAGGTAGTGGTGGCTTGGGTTTGTTTTGCAAGGTTTGCCACCACGGTGCCACCCCGCTGAGCCCCGTCGCGGAATGCAGCTTAGGGTCAACAGCAGCGAGACGACGCCCTTCCCACAGACAGGATTCTTTTTCTTTTTCATTCCTGATTAGAATAACCGATATTGCAAAAAGAAAAATAGCTGGAATGTCGGCTCGCACTCGCACACACAGTCATTCGCGACGCGCTGGCTGTTTGCCCGTGGCTTTCGCTTTTTGGCGCCAATCTGCCACTGAGAAGACGCCATGTTTTGGCGCCAAATTAAACTAGTATCTTCTCTTCCGAAATCTATGGGTCAATTTTTGTAGTATTTCGCATAATCTAAATTGCTTATCTACATGATTTTGCCCAGACTGGTGATTTATGTGGGATTAAAGATTCACAAAATTATCTAGGGAATTCATTATGGTCATTGACAAAGGTCTCATAGGCCAAACTTATTCAATAATTATGAAATAGGCTCCGAAACGCAGGGCTAATGTTTTATTACCTAATACCATTTCATTATATTAAATAATATATATATAGCATTCATTAATGTAGTAAACATGATATCAAGTGATTTTTATTTTAGTTGGTACTTTTCTTGTGGTAACGTAGTTTGTCTAATGTGAAACTAAATTAGCTCTTAAAGGACAAACATAAATAATAACACCCATTACCGGTAGTCTAATGCACAGCGCTATTCCTTCCTCCATAAATAACTTAGCTAATATCAGCTGGTGGAGACAATGAACATTAAACTTCAGAATTTCTCAAAATATAATAATCATGATCCATATCCAACAGGCTCTAGCTATCTTGCATAAATCGCTATATAATTATCCATTAGCATAATTTAGTTATAATGGTAAACGCTTACTAATTAGGCTGAAAATAAAATCGCCAATTGATAGATTGATAACATTACACATCCCAGACTTATCCAAACGTGTCGAAAGCTCATTAGCTTACCATCTACGGAGTTCGGCCGATTAGTCATCCTGACAGGCTTAAACGAGTGATTTCAAGGAGAATGAGTGGATTAGCCTTAATAGGATATAAACCGGTAAAACACGGTGTGTAGAGGGGAAAGGAGAGTTGGTGCCAAAAGACTAAAAGATAAGGAAGTAACAAGGCTGAGGAAGACGCATGGAAAATGTCAAGGCAAAGAGTGTCACTAGAGTTTAGTGACTTCCATTTGTAATGTGAAGGACAGTTGACAAAAGAGAACCAAGATAAGCATAATATGTTTGGGGGACCGAGCTTTGCTTGGAGAGAATCACTAGATTTTGGCAAATTCCATTTTAGGCCTAATGTGGAGGACTGTAAACAAGGGATAAGCATGTTTTTTTGGTGGCCGAGCCTTGCTGGGAGAATACCAGGGAGATAGTAAGATTTCAAAGAGAAGCTGCTTCAGGAAAGGCAGCCGATAATGAAATTTAGCATCTGATCTACAGTTATGTTATAGTTTTGCAACAAAACTTTAAGGAAGACCGTGCAGTTGATGGTGTGATTCTGTAAGGAAATGTTCATGGTAACGAAGGACCAAGCTTGAAACATAAGTCAGCTTGGCCATAAAGCATACAAAGATTAAAAATATATAATTTAATTATAGTAGGGATATGGGGTCAATTTATTAACGCAACGAGCGCACTATGCTGGTTGTTAACTGTTAATCATTCAGTAGGTTGGAGTGCAGGCTGAGGACTATACCGCCCCTTTACAAAAAAACTACAAAACCTAGTGTCAATTTTATATAGGGATTCATTTTGTAACATTTTAACTGGAAGATATACATGTCAATCCAATATTATTATTAAGTTTAATGAATTTAATTTTATCATGACTTATGCTCGGCAAATAATATCACAAATTTATTTTTAGGGATATAAGAAAATCCAACTCAACCTTACGGACAAGGGACGAACCTTACATATGTTCTAGCCAAAAACTGAAAACTGCCAAGTACTGTAAAACAGTTCTAATACAACAATATACGACTAAGATACTGCATTTGTATTGAAGCAAAGTATTGGGAAGCCCAATACCATCACTTAAAAAGATGACTCAAACTCAAAAAATATTTGAGGTGATAAAAAATCGGTTAATGAAATATTTCCTGCTGGAAGCGCCAAGGCCGCTTCGATAAGATCACCCCCGTTCCCGCCTATGCGTCTACGTCTAACGTCTGCGTAGTCGGGAGGGAACCAATGGCGTTCCAGGGATTCCATCCCGCGGTTCCGAGAATTGTGACGCAATGTCTGAGGCAGGTTCAAGGCCGAGGTCACGTTGTCTGAAAGTGAATCTTGGCGCAGTGTGACGTCATAGATCACGTGTGTTGGCGGGAAAGGTAATACCATTGACTTTATATATATAAAGTCAATGGTAATACGTTCCAGAACCGTCAACTTTTACAAACTATTCATTCATGTTATTCTTTTTCAGACTATAAAACATAAAACAAATACTGTACTGTTGCAAAGAAATAAAATGTATGGTATAGTTATTTTAAGAGCGCAATGATGTTTGTACTCTTGATACACACAAGATGTTTCCTACCACCATTTAATTTATCACAACACACAGATTAGAATTTTAGATGAATATAAAATGCCATTTTAGGTCATGTTTACTATTTAAGGTTATGTTATGTTATTTGCTTATCGGTTCGGTTGTTAACTTCCGGATCCACGGCTGTGGTTGATGTATAAATTACAACTGTGAAATCAGATGATTTAGCGAGCGGGAATTATCTATTCCCACTCTAGAGTGGCAATGAGCTATTTTGCGTATTGTTTACTGGTACAATGTGATAACTTCCATGTAGTGGTAGGAAAACATATTAAAATAACTATAAAAGATTTCCACTGTCGTAGATATTCAAATTAAATCACAAAAAATACCAAGAAATTTATAAATAGTTAAAAAATTATCTTACCTGTCACGCTTTTTATATTAAAATGAAAGAAAAATAGGATTTTTAAATATCTAAGTTCGACAGTAAGATAAAACCAGTGTTCAGGTTTGCATAAGCTATAAAAGACTTCCTCGTACACTTCAACATTGGTCGTACAATAAACTTTAGAACACATTTACACCCAAGATTAAAATGACATTGTGTGACATGACGAGCGAAGATGTAAGCTTTCGTGAAAAGACAGTCTCCGTCACACAAAACTTTCTTTTCCATCGACCCTCTTTTTCAAAACAAAAATACAGATTCCACTACATATTTCTGTGTCAATTTTCTCTTGTAGTTTCATAGTTACGATGTACCAATAAGAATTATGCATCAATGATATTGCAAGCATCGCTAAACAACGTAACACATAATTTCTTCACGGCAGGAGTTCTTCTATTCGTCTCTAAGAACCTTAGAGAACCTAAGACCTCACTTGCAACTCACGCTTGCAACTACTCAGAAACACATAAGATCCCTTAATTACAGAACCCACCAAGTCCAACAAAAGGAAAAGAAACATCGAGTCTTGGACGTCAGTAGACACACGGACAAATACTCTAATGGTTCCTGACCCTTGACCGATGCGTAGAAGAGTCTCCGCTTGTTTACTAGTGAGGCCGTGAAATTCTCCTGATGGGTCACCTTGGTCCGGTCGTCGATCCGAGCTATTCCGAGCTACGGTTCTTGGTGTAAACACGGACGCGGACCTTGCCTCAAGTCTCAAGGTCTCGAGTCAAAGACCCTCATCTCTCAATCTGATCCGCCAAGATCCAGTAACGTTCTGCGACGTGGCAAATACTTACGTAAGGATGTCCTGAAGTGGCTTAGAGAGTGATCTAGAAGAGATTCTTGTCCATCACTTATTAAGTTCAGGGTGTTTTTCAAAAATGGCCTTATTTGAATAAAACGGAAATGCTGCAAGTTCTAGATTCTAGAATGCATTACGACTCTTAAGCATAAGGATAAGACAGTGATAAACGAAAGTATCACTCACCAGGTCACCGCAGAGTAAGATCTAGGAAATATGGATGATGAACATAGCAGGAAGCATCAAAGCTCACTATTTTGGATGTGAAGTTGAGCAAAAATATTTTATGCTTGAACATGAAATTACTAGAAAACTAAATAATACTTTATTCTATTTTTTAATTGTCTAATTTGAATCCTGGTTCGTCCAAATGTTAGGCGATGCGCTGGTTTTAGATTGTAATTTAAATATTTTCATATCTTTCAAAATATTTTGTCTTCAGTTCACCAAAACTAGTTGAGGGACAAAATTAAAACAATCTTAACTTTTTAATTGCATTCACAAATGGTGGTACAACTTACGTTTTGTTGATATTTTTTGTTTCAAACTTCCTCTTTGCCAAGACATAAGTTGTTTTTTCAGCTTTGTAATAGTAACAATAATTATTCTCAAAGCCTATTTGAAATTTTGTGATGCATATTTTACAGGAATTATCTGCGCCGAAGGAAAACTATGGAAAGAGCAGAGATCATTTGTGATTTCGACTTTAAAAAATCTCGGCATGGTAAAAATTGGTCCGAAGAGACAGATTCTACAATCCAGAATAATGGAAGGCATTATAGAGACAATTGAAGTGAGTCTAAATTTTCTTTCTTAAATCAACAATAGGATAGAAGGAACTATTTCGAAGAAAAAGCCAACATTGAGTTGTTGATTCTAAGATTTATTAATACATTTTAATTGAACCGCACAGACTTTCAGTGTACCTATTCACATTGTAACACCCAGACCATATAGTAAATGACTTGTAGTGAATCTATTCAATAATCCTAAGAGCTTTTTTATATACGCTAATGAGTTCAAGGTTTTGATATCAAGTACCCTTTTTGAATTTTCTTATTTAACTCATATTTTCCCTTTAACTTCTATTCTATCTATCCCTTTTTATGTCGGGAGTTAACAAATAACACATTTTTGCGAACCACCAGCACGTGAAGACCGAGAGTGGTCGGGAGGTAGATGCCAGCAGAATTCTTCTTCATAACGTTGGCAACGTCATCAACGACTTGGTGTTTGGTCATCGATGGTCTTGGGACGACCAGACTTGGCAATGGCTTCAACATTTGGCCGACGAAGGAGTTAAGCACATCGGAGTGGCCGGGCCGCTAAACTTCCTACCCTTCCTAAGGTATTAATTGCACGTAATTTACTCAATATTCTGCAATGAATATAATTCTTTCTTTAGATATTTTTTTCTTTTTGATGAATTCAGCTTCATTACTTGAATTGCCTAGTTTTACTTTTTTTCCCCTGCATATGGAGTGAACCCCTATACTTAAGTATTGTTGTTGTGTTGTTGTGTTAAATATTGTTTTCGTGAACATTTTCGACTTTGAGTGGATGTATCCGTTTTTAGTCCCCCTGAACCCAAAATTGGTTTTTGAAGTTATGTCTGTTTGTGTGTCTGTCTCTCTGCCTGTATTTTTGGATGTGCACAGATCTACAGACCACACCAGTAGTCCGATTTTGATTAAAATTGGTATGTAGATACTAATCTGTGGTATCTCTAAACAGATCTTTAAATTTTAATTTTCAATTGTGATTTTCCCATAAAACCCCCTAAAATAACGGAAAATTCTTTATTTTTTTAAATGGCCCGAACGATTTTGATAAAGCTTTAGTATGTTATATTCCTTAAAGTCTAAACAAAATAGTACAACGCCCATTGCTGTATAAATTACAATCCAAAAGCTATGGAAACTTTTGTTATTCTCCCATAAAAACTTATAAATACAAAGAATCTGGTGTTTGAAAAAGTTTTTTTATATTAAAATTAGTATGGTATGGTCCTTACAATTCTAAACAAAATAGTGTGACCCCCATTTCTGTAAATATTAAAGTCAAAAGCTATTGCAACTTTTGTTATTTTCCCTATAAAATATCAAAGTTACTCCCACGACTTACCCATGATAAGGGTTGTTGACAAGCTAAAGAGAGAAAATATGGGTCAGTTTGCTAATACCGTTTATTTTAAATTGTTATATTCATAACACCCTTCGTTAGAAAATACATAGTAAGAATTCACCAGTTAACGATTCAAATCTTTCCGTAATAGGGAAGATTGATCTATTTTGAAAGAAGATTCCGATACAATCGTTGCTTCTGCACATGCCATTTATTAACCATAATATAATAACACAGTAGCTTAATATCAGACATCAGAGAATTAACCATCTAAATGTGTGAATTAATTTAGGTTCCTACCGAAATACAAGAAGACAATGGATTTCTTGGTTGACGGATTGCAGAGGACTCACAAGGTCTATCAAGAGCTAATAGAAGCACATCCTGACGACAAAACTGAGAATGTCGTAGCTGCATTTCTGAAGGAACAGAGAGCTAGAGGGTTAGATGTGGGAAGCTTCACTCAAACTCAGTTCCACTACCTCCTTGCAGATCTTTTCGGAGCTGGAGTTGACACTACTCTCACAACCCTGCGATGGTTCCTCATCTATGTGGCCGTTCATCAGGATATCCAGGTGAATATAGTCTTCAATATTATCTGCCTTTACAATAGGCTATGACAACTGATAACTCTGGGGTCGCATTCATTCCCTCTATAAAACCACGATTCCTGGGTGATTCCAGGCAAGGATTTTACATTTTCATTAGCTTACAGGATATAAATAAATGAACAAAAAAGAAGAAGTAAGACACCCTAATATATCTTAATTGGCTTGATACTGTTTAAAATTAAAAATACAATTTCGTTATACACAAAATGAGATAGTGATTTTTATTTTAAGTTTCTTAAAAAAGATTGACAGATTTTCAATCCGCACAAAATTGTTCAGAATTAGTTGGGATACCACCTTTAAAAAGGTTATACAAAGAATTCCTCATTAGTAGAAAGAAAAATCATTAGTACTGAACTGTTGTACCTGTACACATAAATATTACTTAAATATTGTACAGGATAACAAACAATTAAGGTTGTTATCATCCTACCTAAAAAACTCAAGTTTTCATTCCAGAAAAGGATCCAACATGATCTCGACCAAGTGTGCAAAGAGGCTCCATCCCTCTCGGACATTCCTGTCCTCCCTTACCTACAAGCCGCCATCGCCGAGTCCCAGCGGATCAAACCTGTAGTTCCTACAGGAATCCCTCATGGAACACTCCAGAACACATGTATAGCTGGATACAGAGTTCCTAAAGGGACTATGGTTATGCCTCTCCAATGGGCTGTCCACATGAGTCCGAATTATTGGAAACAGCCTGAAGTCTTCAACCCAGAGAGGTTCTTGGATAGCGAGGGGAAGTTCGTCAAACCAGAAGCTTTCATGCCTTTTCAAACTGGTATGTAATTCAACAAGTACAATTAACATTGCAGATGCAAAATCCTCCATTTATTTCCTTTATAGCATTATGCTAGATTGGTATGCTATTTTGGCATTCAACTATTATGAATGAATAAATGAATAAATGAATTTATTTCCATTGAGAACAAACTTATTACATGCATTTACAGTATTGGAAATTGACTGGCCGCTTTTCAAGTAGTGCGGTCAGTTAGAACAAATAAATACAATAAATTATAACATATTTTGAGTCTAGCATCATGCATTAAAAATACTCTCATGCCGCCATTTGGGTATCTGCTAAATACATATATTAAAATATAAATAAATAACAATGTAAGTGTTGCAAATTATTCAAGCACAATTAAATAACACTAATTGTAAATAATAAATAACAATAATTATAGGTAATAAATAACAAAACAACAATAATTATAGGTAATAAATAATACAAAAACAATAATTCTGGAAACTTAACGAAAGGTAGAAAGTCATTTCATTCTTACATGCAACTATTGGCCTTTGGTACCATATCTATGAGATAACATTGCTTAAATAATCGATGTTTTGTTGTGCAGTTAGCCAGAGATTCAATTGTTTGGAGAATAATTTTAGATTTGTGAGATTTTTAATGTTTGAAGGAACTTGATTAAAATACTTCGGTCCTAAATACTCAAAGGAATGGCGAAAAATTGATTTATTGACTTTGGGTAGTCTGAAATTATTTTGACGTACATACCTAGTATTGTAATACACATTGTCACTAACCACATTTCCACTCCTTATAAAAAATAATCTCTGGACCTTGAAAACAAAAAGATGTTGAATAGGTTTAATATTTAAATGCTTATAAAGAGGGAAAGAAGATTCTGTTTTGAATTTGTTTAAAATTATACGTAAAAAATAGTTTTGGGTAATTCTCAGTTTATCTATCAAATATTTATAAGTTCCGCCCCAACATATTAATCCATATTGTAATCTAGAGTTTATTAATGCAAAATACAGTGATCGTAACAAATCAATACTACAAATATTCCTTAAAAAATAAAATGTTCTAATTGAAGACCTTAATTTTGCATGCAAACTAAGTATATGTTGATCAAAACTCATTTTTTCGTCCAAAATAATTCCTAGATATTTAAATTTGTTGGCAGTCGCAGACTACTAAATTACATGAAGCAGAATGATAAGTGAGAGGAAAAGGTATTTCAAAACCTGAAAGATCAAAATTGACATATTTTGTTTTATTTGCATTTATTTGCATTCTGTTTTGGAGGCACCATTGTCTTAACAACAAGAGATCGATATTGATTGACTCACCAAGTATTACAGAATCTTTATTACAGTAAAATATTGCTATGTCGTCCGCAAAAGCACTGACATTCCCCTTAAAATCAAGTTCCAATAAATCATTTATAAATATTAGAAATAAAATACCAGAGGTTACTGACCCTTACGGAACACCTGACTCAACTGTTTTCGCAGAGCTGTAATGATTTAAACATTTTACTTTTTGTTTCCTTCCTACTAAGAAACTTCTGAACCAACACAACGCAGTTCCCCTAATACCCAACGCTTCCAATTTATCTATGAGAATATCATGATCAACTAAATCAAACGCTTTTTTGAAATCAATAAAAAGTCCTGATGTTTTACAATTTGAGTTTAGACTATTGAATATTTGTTCTGTGACATTTAATAAAGCATCTTCAGTTGATTTACCCCTTACAAAACCAAATTGATTACTGCTAAGAAAGTTAATTTTCATCAAATACTTATTCAACCTTAACATCATTAACTTCTCAAATAATTTAGAAAAAACTGAAAGTAAACTAATTGGTCTTATATTGTCTAATTTTGAAGAATTTTTATCTTTTAAAATTGGTACGACAGAACTCAATTTCAGGCTTTCGGGAAATATGCCCAGACTAAAACTCTTATTGACAATATGTGTTAGTACTGGCGCTATGTCATCTATAACAAATTTTAGTGTAGAAATATTATCATATCCTGATAATATTACTGCACCGTTATTATTATTATTATTATTACTGCACCGTTTGTTTCCTCAATGACAATAGTATTTAAATAAACATATTTTTTAACATACGGCATTTGTTTTTGTATGCACATTTGGTTTCTATCTTCTCACGAATTATATTACCAGGTAAGATGGGGGAACCACCTAGTTGCGCATTTCATCCTAAACATGAGTTTTGCATAAGTGTAGAATGAAATTAGATGCAATGTGTAGCTTTGCGTATACTTAGTCAAGTATGTCAACGAGCCCTAAAACTATCCTTGTTACTAGGCAAGAGGTCCTGCGTTGGCGAAGAGCTCGCAAGGATGATCGTTTTCCTCTACGCCTCAAATCTTCTCTTCAACTTCACAGTGGAAATTCCTGCATCTTGTGAGAATCCCTTAGAGTCTGAGTGTGGTATCACCTTGATCCCAACCCTTAGGAACCTCATCTTTCATCCTAGACGTTGAGAAGAAAATAATAAGTAAGCCGCTCGCTGTTCATCTACCCATGTACCCTGGCATAAAGTTGTTTCTTAGATTAAAATTCTTTAATGAAATATATATAATTATGTGTTATCTTTTTATAATATGCCATAAAACGTGTTCTATGGGTTTTTTCTTACAGTTCTAAAAAGTTAATTTATTGTCATCGAGCATATTGAGCCCCATAAACGCATTTAGTTATTTCACTTATTGAACCTTATTAAGTTAAGAAAGGGTCTTTATAGAATTTGAGTATTTATGACACTCTGAAATTTATCCTGTATGTTATTATAAATTATACTTGACTTTTAACTAGAGAAAACTGTGTTTCTTAGGTTTAGGATTGATTCTTAGTTATTGTATAGTTTGGGATTCCTTACCATGTAGGTAACAGTTCGACTTGAATTGTTTATTTAGGTACTGTATATATTCCTCTTAGTTCTGGAAAGTGTGTTGCATTTAGTTCAGATACTACAGTCGAATACCTTTGTTTATGTATAAAATAACTATGCCAAGTCACTATTTTAATATACTGTGTGTTTTAACAAGGGTATACGAATTCCCCCTTTAAAATCCTCACAATTTAAGAGAGGCGTGTAGGTTTTTTTTAGTTAATACAGCTCTAAAACACTATTTGATTCCTACCTATTATTTTTAACAGAACACTTTATACACTAGTACAACCACATACCGTCGTAGAATTAATTTGTACTCTTTACTTGTTATTATATATAAAAAAAACAACTTAACGGCCATCATCTTGAAGATTTATTGATTTCATTATTTTCCATATACAGTATCTTTATAGTGTTACCTGTATACTGTTATGGTCCATTGTACCCTTCTCCCCATTGTAAATACATACGGCTTACGGCCTTGAAATAATTATGTTTAGAGACCTATAACACCCTGATCAGGTGGCACAGGTAACCGCAACTGTTGATCAACTAACTACAAAGTGTCCCCCGAGTGCCAGATTTATAGATTTGTCCGGGATGGTCCATGTCTGCAATTGCCCGTATAACTTGTTAAATTAATTAATTACTACATAATTATATTTGTTAGGATAACTTTTTTTTTATATACGAATAATTTGTATTCCTGATCATTAAAGTGTTTAAATAAACATTAATATCAATATGTATTTTAATAAGATGTTTCTCCACTTTTTTATAAACATGAATTACTATATTTGTACATTGAAAGTATACAGAATTTGAACGAACCATGTTTTCGGATTCTGATGAACTAAACATGAATATATACAGTTGTCATGGACTTATACCTTAAGTGTGTAACTATAGTTCCTATTTACTTGGATTTAAATTAACTAAAATGTTGATAATTTGTTTTTGAAATTAAATTGATTTTCATTATGCTATTTATGGATCTGATTTTCGTTAGTTTGCAAGTTTACTAAGATTGGGTATTATTTAAAATAGTTTAATGCAGTTGTAATAGTGGTGAGTTCTGAATCACTAATTTGCTTATCAATGTTATAAGTTACAGTAATTTCATTTGCACTTTTGGTAATGTTTTATATCCCACCAATCATAATTTGCCATTACTCATAAAGCTGTATGCTTCCCAAGAATATTTTTGTTTTTATATTATATTATTCTTTATATAAAGAAAAAAATATAACAAAATAATATAATTCAAAGTATATAATATAGTGAATATAGAAGTATATAATAAAGTATAGTGAATAATAAACCACTTTAATATTATTTAAGTGGGTTGTTATATTATTATTTTTGCTAGATAGCAAAATAATATAACAACCCACTTTAAAAACAAAAAAAAATTAACCAAATTAACTCTAAAATAAATTACGAATAATTAAATTATTTAAAACAACATCTATGACATGTGAATGTGCAGATTTGAAGGAAGCCAGAATGAACTAAATGGAGATCCACGAAGAAAAGTGTTTAACCAAATACAAATCAAGCAAAGAAAATTATTACCAAAAGTTATATTCAACATTCAAGAAGAATTAACCGTGAGCAATATTGTGATTCCTTTATGTAAACAAAACCAATACAGTCCACTTATTCAAACTAGTTTTCCTTATCTGTTCATTCATTTTTCAAACATGATTATTAAAATTTCATGTCAGTATTTTAAACATTTCAAATAGTAAAGATTATTATTTGTCATATAGTCACCTGACAAAATATTCTTCCTTGTACTCATTATAGTACAGAAAGTTGCTAATTGCTGCATTTACTTACTTTTGTCACACTCCTTTTTTGTCGCACTCCAGTATTCCAACCAACCAAACACCAAACAGCGTGCTATTATTAGGCTGGTAATACAACATTTTGAAAATATGTTGGCAACACTTAGACACTACGACTACGATCAGCTGGTGCAGTGTTTCTCATTTCGTTATTTAACCTTATCTAAAACGTGTTGTTAAGTGTTTGAAAGACTAATTATTTCTATGCTTAATAATAACTGTAGGAAAAATATAATATGTAACACGAGTGCAAATTGCACTTCACACACTAGTTTCACAAATAACTATTGATCAACTGTAAAATATTTCCTACAACAGAAGAGAACATTTAGTTAATATCAGTGTATTAACGTAACCTAACATAAAACACTCGTTGAAACCAAAAGGCTTCGGTTTTTACAGTAGGATTAGAAGTATTTTTGGATTATCTAAAATCAATGCTTTACTACTTACTGTACATAGATACTGAAATGCGAACAACGACATTACAAGTGTTATCGTCCATTTAAATGCTGAACAGAGAGGTGTGTGTGTGTGTGTGTGAGAAAGAGAGGTGTGTACTATGGACCCTAGTACTACACTGGGAGTGCTAAATGCTGACAGTAGCACCAGAGTCAGCATAGCATCAGCAGGGCGCCAGCATCAGGACAACCTTATGCGTCAGCACCGCAGCGCCTGTATAGTAGGGGAATCATTGCTTAATGATATTCTTCGGTTCAGAGGCGTCTAAGCCGAATGAGATGTCGAATCTAAATGTAGACTGTTTTCACGAAAGGAATTATCTATCCATTGTATTGTTCTTGCAGGTGTTTGAAGATATAGTATATTTCATTACTAGGACCGAAAGTGGCATTTTTAGGCGGGCGCTTGAGTTTCATGTGTGAGGCCTAGCCGAACACAGGATAGGCAAACTTCACGTGCAAGGCAAAGCCGAGCATGTGAGAGCTATTTTCAGCGAAGCCGAGGACGGGAATAATGGATCAAGTGCCGGAAAATAACTTTCGGTACGAGTTATGAACGATACTTTCATCACGACGCAACTATACATACAAATGCAGAATATTAAAATCAGTAATATTAAAATAGTTTTAGACCACCCTTTATCAGTAAAATCGACCTCACAAAGTATATGGTATTATGATTATACACATTTTAGATTAATATATTAATAAATACGTTATCACTTACTTTATTTGGTTTAACATTTTGTAAGTTGTACCAGTTCGTAAGCTTTCTGTATTCCTCTTAATATATTTCTCGTACTTTCTCTGTTGGAAGGTGTTTTGTCATCTCTAAAGATTTTGTCAACAAAACATTAGAAATGTTCAACATCTTTTGAGCAACTTTAAACACACTTTACGCTAAAACACAGCATACAAACTACCTAATTTTTTTTCTGCAAACATTTAGATTGTACAACAATGTTTACAGCTGATAATAAAATGAACTTTAACAAAACACTAGCACACATGCTGGGTAAAAGGATAACTTAACTAATTGAGAACGAGGGAAAATTAGCTGATCGTTTTCCCTCGCTCTACATTAGAGCTTGGGAAACAACTACCTTTGATTTAGCCTAAGCTGTTATCGGAAATAGTTGCTTTCGGCACGGAGTGATGACAAATATCCTTCCCTGCTAATTTTTCACCTGTTAGTTTGGAAATATGTACAATTATACACCTAGGAAGTCGGAGATTATATCTAGCTATTGGTGATTAGCAGGACTTGCATCCGAGACGCAAGGAACCACATGGCCAGTTGCACACGTGTGTTTTTCCCATCAACCCAACCTACAGTTTCCGCACAGTCTCCAAGCTGTGTTAATCGTAAAAAGAAATACGGTATATGATTTAAAACCTTTCTGATTTATTTTGCTACCTTTTAAGATCTATTTTAACGTTTTCGCTACAGTCGACGAATCCCAAAATGAAATACCATTCGATCTAAAACTAAGGTCATTAGGATTGTCATATGATAATGAGAAATATTTTATACGTGCACAATATAATGATATCGGCCGAATATCCGCATAGTAGTAAGATTACCATAATGATACCGAAGGATCCTCTAAACGATAATTGTTCCAAGAAGATGTCCAAATGAGACAATAGAGCTTAGGAAAATCAATACACTTAGCATACTGTTATTATAGTAACTCGAGTGATTTCAGTTGTAAACATTGAGTATTAGAAACTCTTTAATACGCTTGTACAATCCGAAGCTTGTTTCCGTGTGTGTCTTGTACGGTCCGGTCACCTTTGAATGTTCTGCTGTCGTCTGACTACAAATGGACGTCAAGGATTAAGTTTAATAAATAGTATAGATACACACTGACTGCTGTAGCTTGACCATTGACCCCACTTTACTACACTTTGAAAACAAAGAGACAAAATAGTCGTGGATTAATGAAATATATTAATCTCTATAATTGAAATGTGTACAAGGGCGCCTGGATTGAAACATGTTGCACAACAGAGACGCCTCTATATTGACTTTGCATTGTTGAAGGCGTCTGTCTAGCGGCTTGTGAGGCTACAGCGCTACAGCGCTACAGCGTAGCTGGTGTGTATTGACTCCAAAGTGATAACACAGAAAAATGTACTTTTCGTCTGAAGGAACTCTATCGTTGCTTTCAAACGTATTCATCGACATAACAATACGTTTAGTAAATTATCCAACGAATTAATGAAGCGCTCAGTAGTAAATACGTTGTGATACTAAAATGTAATGAAATAAACTAAAAACACAATAGTAGTATTTTATGCATGATCAAACCAGAACTGTGTTTAGAAGGCAATTTTTAAACACATTATTTCTTTTAAATCTGCATTTAAATTCAATCGTTGTAAGGTTGTTTGAAATACTTGTTAGATAGGAATAGTTTAAATCTAAACAATAATGACTTTGGCTCTTGTATGTTTATATTATGCAACTGTGTTTTGACTCTGTTACTGACTTACTGACATTTATGAGAGTTATGATTTATTGATTTGACTATTTAAGGTTTTACTGACTTACTGACCGAGAGGTTATGTCAATTCTGCGTTAAAACAAAATAAATGTAGTATTTTATTTAACTTTTATTAGATGAACTCGTGGTGATGCATTTTATTAGAATGCATTGATTTTATTGTCATATCACAGTTGTTAAATAATCAAAACTGCAATAAAATTATTATTACGAGAGGTCGTCCAGTGGTCGAAACTCGACCAAAAATATGTAATGTACTCACTTAACTATTTTCACCCCACACTGTAAATAAAACATGTGATTGGAGTTTCCTCCATTTGTTTTGATTTTCTGTTTATATTTCGTTGTTATTTCGTAACCAGCATAGCAACGCATAAGATCCATGTTATTTTTTTACAACTTTTAAACTTATTTTTTGTGCTTATCTTTGAGCCTATTTAAATTTATAAAGGGATTCTGCACACCTACAGGAAAATAGCTTTCCAACGGTATGCGTAGATTTTCCCTACGATGCACACGAGCTGAGAAAAAAGGTTTTAAAGAAACATGCTTGCCTATTAATACAGGGTGTTCATTTGAAAACTTTCCATATCTGTTGTGTGCAAAGGTAAGGCTTTTAACACTTGTTTGTTCTCATTTCCCCCTAATTTGGACATGCCAAATCCAATAAAATTATTTTCAATTTCGAAAAATGCCCCAAAAGGGCCCAATTTGGGGGGTAGGGGTGCTTTTTGAGAAATTTTCAAATGTAAACATGGGTTGTGTGATACATCAATTTAAAGGTCTAATCACCCCGACTATTTTGGTGCAATAAAAATGCAATTATCTTTAACCGTATTTACAGGGTGGGTCAAAACGTTTTTAAAAAGGACTTTGAAGTTAAGTGCCGTATTACCCGAACTACTGAACGGAACAGCGCCAAATTTCTTTCCAAGCTTATTCTTGATCTACTCTTTAAGATAACTTGTAATAAGGGCATTTTCCATGTTATCTTCTAATTTTTAAAAAATCTCAAATTTTAAGAATAAAAGAAAGGTGAAAACTCAAAATTCTTAAATAGCAAGGTATGACAAATTTCATACCACGTGAAAGGTCCTTTTTTAACAAACATTTTACGTATTTAAGTTTTCTTTCTATCTCTTACCGTTTAAAAATTGCAGTAGAAAAACTGAATTTTCCATAGTAATATTGTAACTAGTTTTCTAATAAAACAGCCAAAATTCGTCTCTAGACACATTTAATGGTGCATTAACTGAAGGAAACAATTCATAATTATTGATACCCTGATTGACAAACAAGTCGTTACGTTTTAATTTGTGAAAAACAAGTCTTATAGCTGATGAGGACAACCTACATGTGGGCTGCTTTCTGTAGTACCATTGACTAGTCAACGGTAGTACTAATTTCAAAAAGTACTATTTTCTGTAGCATCTAATCGAATATGGTGTACACTTAAAAAAATTGACTTTATTTTTACTTATTGGGCAGAACAAAAGTGTTTCAGGATAACTGCAAAGTGTTTAACAATAAATATCCAGGTAAGACCTTAAGTCATAAAGCTGTAAATGATTTGGTTAAGAAATTTCTGAAACTGGCTCAGTTCCCAATGAGAAAAAAACAGGATGAAGGGTCCAAGATGAACTGACACAAGTAAAAGTAGTTGATCAATTTGTAATTAATCATAATACATCGTTGAGCAAAGTGCAATGTGTTTTGTTAGAAAACTAGTTATAATTTTACCATAGAAAATTCAGTTTTTCTACTGCAATTTTTAAACGGTAAGAGATA